ATATAGTAGTCTGGGCTTGCATCCGTGGTCTCTTAGTTTTTGGAGAACATCTATCCAGGACCTTCTGGCTTTCATGGTTTCCATAGAGAAGTCAGGTGTAAGTCTGATAGGTTTACCTTTATAAGTAACTTGGCCTTTTTCCTTTGCGGCTCTTAATATTCTTTCTTTATTCTGTATATTTTGTGTTTTGATTATTATATGGTGAGGGGATGTTTTCTTTTGATCCAGCCTATTTGGTGTTCTGTATGCTTTTTGAACCTTCATAGGTACATCTGTCTTCAGGTTGGGAAAGTTTTCTTCTATAATTTTATTAAGTATATTTTCTGTACCGTTGAGCTGCACTTCTTCTCCTTCTTCTACTCCAATTATTCTTAGGTTTGGTCTTTTTATTGTGTCCCATATTTCCTGAATGTTTTGTGATGAGAGTTTGTTGGACTTGCTGTTTTCTTTGATCAGAGTGTTTATTTTCTCTATGTTATCCTCAGAATCTGAGATTCTTTCTTCTATCTCTTGTATTCTGCTGGTTATACTTGATTCTGTAGTCTCTATTCGTTTACCTAGATTTTCCATGTCCAGCCGGCCCTCTGTTTGTGTTTTCTTCTTTGCCTCCATTTCAGTTTTCAAGTCATAAACGGTTTCCTTTATCTGCTTGATTGTTTTTCCTTGGTTTCCTAGGGTATCATTCACTGATTTACTCAATTCCTCGAACTTTCTATTATACTTCTCATCCATTTCTATAAGGGCGTTTTTTATATGCTGTTTAAGGGTGTCAATCACTTTCATGAAGTCAGTTTTTTCTACTTCTTCTTGATTAAGGTGTTCATGTCCTCCTGTTGTTGGGTCACTGGCTGCTGGTGGTTTTGTGTTGTTTTTCAGATTGTTGGGAGAATTCCTGCATTGGCTTCTGCCCATCTCTTCCTCCCAATACTCCCCTTTGGATCTTCTTTTACAGGATCAGGTCTTCTTGCCCACTGATGTACCTTCCCAGTGATGTCATTCCCCAGAGATGTTTCTCCACAATGATGTTTCACTCGGTGCCCAGATCGAAACTCCGCGCTGTTTGCTTAGCTCGCGAACCTCAAGTATTATTTTGATAGTACATTCAAGCACTAGAATTGTGGAAGTTGGTGTTACTTGGTATCTTTCAACAATTCATCTCCAGTTAGCATGAATACTGTTCATACCATTCTACAAAGTAAAAGCAGGAGATCACTGTGAAATTCTTCTCAAAAGGAAAGTGACACTGATACCTAAACCACTTATATGCTCAAAAAGTACATGAATGATATGACAATTTCCTCATGAACATATATACAAAAATCCTCAAGAAAATATTTGAAAACTGAATCTAAAGCTGGGCGATGGTGGCGCACGCCTTTAATCCCAGCACTCGGGAGGCAGAGGCAGGGGATCTCTGTGAGTTCGAGACCAGCCTGGTCTACAAAAGCTAGTTCCAGGATAGACTCCAAAGCTACAGAGAAACCCTGTCTCAAAAACCAAAAAAAAAAAAAAAAACAACTGAATCTAAGAACATTCAAAATATCATTTACCATAGGATTTACATAAAACATATAGGGATGTATCAACAAATGAGAGCCAATGAATGTAATCTACCAGATAAAGAAATTAAAAATCAAATTTTAGATGTTCATCATGAGAAATATTAACCACCCTTCATGATAAAAGTTCTGAAGAAACAAGTGAAATGGGACAAACTTCAAAATAAAACATGCAATTTATAGCAATCCTATGAACCAAATCAAACTAACTTGTGGGAAATTCAAATCTTTCCAGTAAAATAGGGAACAATAAAGGATATTTGAATTCTTAATATGTATTTAAGAGAGTATTTGAAATTTTCTCGAAACATAATAAAATTATGATGATCAAAAGGTGATTAATAGGAAAGAATAAAAGCAAATAAAATTTATATGCAGATGATATGATTTTATAAATAAAAGACAAAGAATCCCACAAGAAAAATTCTACAACTGAGAAACATTCCAATAAAATTGAGGCAGTTTAAAATAAAATAACAGATATAAGAGAACATACGGAGATCGAGGGGATTTAAATCAGAAAGGAAGCAGTCAAACTTTCGTTATTTACAGATGATATGATAGTGTACATTAGTGACCCCAAAAACTCTACAAAAGAACTCTTTCAGCTGATAAACACATTCAGTGATGTGACAGGTTACAAGATCTCCTCAAAAAAATCATTAGCCCTCCTATACACAAAGGATAGGGAAGCAGAGAGGGAAATCGGAGAAACATCACCTTTTACGATAGCCACAAACAGCACAAAGTGTCTAGGGATAACTCTAACAAAGGAAGTGAAAGATCTATTTGACGAGAACTTTAAGGCATTGAGAAAGAAATAGAAGAGGAAATCAGATAATGGAAGGATCACCCATGCTCTTGGATGGGTAGGATCAGCTTAGTAAAAATGGCAATTCTGCCACAGGCAATCTATAAATTCAATGCAATCCCCATTAAAATCCCAACAAAATTCATCACAGACCTCGAGAGGACAATGATCAATCTTATTTGGATATTTAAATGACCCAGGATAGCCACAACAATCTTATACCATAAAGGACCTTCTGGAGGCATTACCGTCCCTGACTTCAAACTCTATTACAGAGCTACAGTAATGAAAAGAGCTCGGTACGGGCATAAAAGCAGAGAAGTTGACCAATAGAATAGAATAGAAAACCCAGATATTAACCTACAACTTAGGAACACCTGATTTTTGACAAAGGAGCTAAAACTATACAATGGAAGAAAGAAAGCATCTTCAACAAATGGTGCTGGCATAACTGGATGTCAACCTGTAGAAGAATGAAAATAGATCCATATCATTCACCATGCAGAAAATTCAAGTCCAAATGGATTTACGACCTCAATATTAATTTGAACACACTGAACTTGATAGAAGAGAAAGTAGGAAGTAGTCTACAACACATGGGTACAGGAAACCACTTCCTACGTTTAACCCCAGTAGCACAGACATTAAGGGCAACATTGAATAAATGTGACCTCCTAAAACTGAGAAGCTTCTGTAAAGCAAAGGACACTGTCATCAAGACAAAAAGGCAACCTACTGATTGGGAGAAGAACTTCACCAACCCTGCAACAAACATAGGTCTTATCTCCAAAATATATAAAGAACTAAAGAAACTAGACTTTAATATGTGTAGAAAAAAGAGAAAAATATGATTACAATGATATGATCATTTTTAAGAATTTCTGAAGTCTGAAAAGTTATTAATCCCTTGAAGTGGTTTACATGGTTGTCTGGGAACCAATTAGTAATAACTGTTTCCTGCTGTTCATGTCTTCTTTCTTTATTAATTAATAATCTGTCTTCTTTAAATATTATTCTGTTTGCTCACGTTAAGTGTTTGAAGAGATGAGATTTTTCTATAAAAATACAATTTCATAACAAATATTATTTTTATACTTGGGCTTTGTAATAGTTACTTTTCAATTTCTGTGATAAAGCACTACGATAAAGACAATGCACAGAAGGAAGATCAATGATGATGAATCAGAAGGAGTAGTTTATAGGGAGCTGGAACAGCAGTGAGAGGTCCCATATAGAAGCCCCATATGAATCAGAGACCTTATTAGTGGCAGCAGAAGACTTTAGAGATCTCAAATCAAGACTCTAGGAATGTAGACTTTCCATTAATTTGATATCTCTTAATCCTACGAATAAATATACACCATCTTCAGGCTATGTATTCAGATGTCTGAATATATGGGGTCATTTTACTCAAACCAGTATAGTCTTATTTATTATTCCGAAAATTATGTTTGAAAATCTCGAGGTAATATAATTTCAACCCTGCCATTTTATATATTCTTTATTATTTATTTATTTTTTATTTTTTATTAATAATTTCTGCCTCCTCCCTACCTCCCATTTCCTTCCTCCTCCCTCCACTCATCTCCCCTTCCCTCTCCAGTCCAAAGAGCAGTCAGGGTTCCCTGCCCTGTGGGAAGTCCAAGGTCCTTTCCCTTCCATCCAGGTCTAGGAAGGTGAGCATCCAAACAGGCTCAAGGTAATATATCCTGCCACTTTATTTATTCTTTAGTGTATGTTATGAAAGATGTTATATCATTTGCCTTGAGAATATTGTTTCATAAGAATAAATAATAATCATGAGGTTTTTATGCCACATAGTATAATTAAATATTTCCTATTTTCCAGGTCTATATTCCCATCAAACACAAGACCTATTTGCACTGGAGAATACACAGGATTCAGTCCTGAAGCTGGTATCTGGAATATCAGTAAGTTTTAACCTAGAAACCTTGTACTTAAGAATATTTTAAAAATTTGGTGATCAGAGCAAAAAGAAAGGTTTATGTTATACTTGAAATAATTTTTACTCACCAGCCATCCTGGATAAATTTGGCAAAATAGGTCAGGAATCTTTACCTTATTGTGGATGGTGTCACATTAGATCTCATACATTTACAGAAGTTTCTTTTCTAAACAAATACACTTAAAGTCCTAACATATAGTTTTATCTACAAAGAAAGTTGAAAAATCTGAACACTGAATGATACGTGTTACATCAAGCATTCTCAAGATTTCCCACAAATACTAATTATAGTTGTGACATAGTAAGCAATTTAGATCCACATGAGAAGGTTTTTCTCAATAAAATCAGACTGAAAATACATCATAGATAGCTGTTTTACTTGGGAAAATTCTTACACAGGTACTGATGCTATTAAGCTGTTTTCTAAGTGTTTTAGGAAGAATAGGTACCAGAACCCTCAGTTGACAAAAAAAAATGCCAAAAACACTACATGGCAGTACATATTTTCTCAGTATTTAAATACATAGTAGAAGGCTATTATTCCTGAGAAATGTACAGAGACTTTTTATTGTAACACACACCATTTTTTTTGTTCCAGTATGACCAGAAACAAGTGAAGCCTTATATAAACAATCAAAATGAAGAGAGACAATGCAACTATAAGAAGTGTGGGAAGAGCTTCAACAGATATTCCTGCCTCACTAGTCATAAGAGAATTAATTCCAAAGAGAAGGCATATAAATTTGAAAACTATGATAAATCATTTTCCTATCATGCAAGTCCTCAAGCTCTCCAAAGAATCCCTTTTGGTGACAAACCTTACAGTTGTAAAGAATGTGGGAATTCTTTTACCCGTGTCTCAACACTGAAACAACATCACACTATCCATACTGGTGAGAAACCTTACAGATGTCAAGAATGTGGCAAATCATTTACTCGTCATACACATCTTCAAGATCACCCCAGGATTCACACTGGTGAGAAACCTTACAGATGTCAAGAATGTGGTAAGTGTTTTACCACTGCCTCAAACCTACACATCCATCACATAATTCATATTGGTGAGAAACCTTACAGATGTCAAGAATGTGGCAAGCCCTTTAACCATGTCTCAACACTTCACAGACATCACAGACTTCATACTGGTGAGAAACCTTACAGATGTCAAGAATGTGGAAAGTCATTTACTCGTCATGCAAATCTTCAAGCTCACCACAGAATCCATACTGGTGAGAAACCTTACAGATGTCAAGAATGTGGCAAGTCCTTTAACCTGGTGTCAAATCTTCACAAACATTGCAGAATCCATACTGGTGAGAAACCTTACAGATGTAAAGCATGTGGTAAGTCCTTTAACGATGTCTCAACACTTTCCAGACATAACAGAGTCCATACTGGTGAGAAACCTTACAGATGTCAAGAATGTGGCAAGTCCTTTAACCAGGTGTCAAATCTTCACAAACATTGCAGAATCCATACTGGTGAGAAACCTTACAGATGTACAGACTGTGGCAAGTCCTTTAACGATGTCTCAACACTTTCCAGACATCACAGAATCCATACTGGTGAGAAACCTTACAGATGTCAAGAATGTGGCAAGTCCTTTACCCATGTCTCAACACTTCACAAACATAACAGAATCCATACTGGTGAGAAACATTACAGATGTCAAGAGTGTGGCAAATTATTTACCCCTTTCTCATCACTTCATAGACATCACAAACTTTATACTGGTGAGAAACCTTACAGATGTCAAGAATGTAGGAAGTCCTTTACTTTTCATGCAAATCTTCAAGCTCATTGCAGTATCCATATTGGTGAGAAACTTTACACATGTCAGGAATGTGGCAAGTTCTTCACTACATGCTCAAGTCTTAGAAGGCATCAGAAAATTCATGTAATGGGCACACCTCTTAAAACTTCTTAGTTTAACTCACAGTAATATGGTTTACCTGTCTTTATATACTGAACAAATTATTTCAAAGACTCAAATCCTTAAATTACTTTCCAAGCTTAGTCAGTAATTATCTGGCACTACAATTCTAATAAATTTAAAAACATTGTGTCAAGGTTTAAATATTATAATCATGAAACATTCATAATAAAATTAATTAATTATGCACTATTTTGGGAGATGTAACCATTCAAATATAAAATATTATCAATAAGTAAATATCTGCAGTAGGAATGAATTAAGCAATAACATTCCCTGACTGTATATCAAGGTAATGTGTTAAAGAACCAGCCAAAATCACACTATTCCAGATTTTGATGCATATTTTAGATCTTGGAATATGGTTGTTTAGGTAATGTGATTATATTCTACATAAACATTATTTTCCTGTAATTATTTGTGATTTCATATTAATAACTGCTCATTTTTAACTTCATGTATTTTCTTTCTTTGCAATAAAAATGTTAAATATTTTAGACATTTTTCATCTTTTTGTTTTGATAGTTTATACTTTAATTGCATGATAACATTAATGTGAGCTGTTCTGTAGATAATAGTAACAATATCAATTTGTCATAACAGAGAAGTATATTTTTCCTGGGACATGTATATACTGTGAATATGTATTACTGTGATGACATAATAGGAAGCAAATGGACAAAAGCTAAGTAAGAGATATATTCAGGTCTTACAAGGAGATAGTGGATGTATGAGGAGGAATTGAGGAAGGCATGTTGCCACCAGAAATGGAGGAAGCTGGATGTGTGGTAGGTTTTAGAACATAGCATAAAAATACATGGATTAATTAAACTTATGAGAGCTAGTTGGAAAGGAACTTGGAATTTTGATCTGGCTTGCCCTTGCTCAGCTCTCATGAATCACTGAGTTCCTAATTACACATTTCCCGGTGTGTGCTGAAAACAGTGCTTCTTTCTAGTCCTACATCACCTTTGACTCTTCACATCTCTTATAATTCTGTTCTGAACCATCCTTTGAATTGCAGGGAGGGGATGATATTGAAACGACACTTAAAGCTGAACATCTTCTTATTGTCTGCACTGTGATTGCAGGTTGTCTCTCTTTTAGCAGTAAACATATGCAGGTAATTTCTATGATGGAGGCTTAGCGATGCAGTAGTTGCTGGTAAAAGATAGGAAATGAGGAATAATTTTAAGCCTTAAGCTTGTATCAGAATAATAGTAGCAGGTGGCACTTTCTAACTTTGGTAATTCTTCTAGAACAAACATGAATTTTCCTCAAATAATTGTACAAACTAGAAGCAGAAGGAACAGTGTGACATTCTTTTCATGAGAACACTTACCTTAATACCTAAGCCACATAAAATTTAGCAAAAGTGATTGATATAACACATTTAGCTTTTTGAGGCAATTCCACATTGATTTCATTCCGCATCATCAAAATGTTAACTCTCAAATATTTGAATAAATTATTATCTTTTCTTCAGATATACACCAATATTTGTTATTCTTTATCAATATTGTTATTTTTCTTAGTCATTCTGATATGGGGAAGAGATTTCAAAGGATAATTAATTTTTATTTCTCTGATTGCTAAGCTTGTTGAACTTTAGAAAATACCTCTCAAACAGATTTATAATTTTTTGAGATTTCTGTTTAGGTTTATGTCTAGTTTTAATGCTAGTGGCATTTTTGTTTTTGTTTGCTTCTTTGATACTCTCTCTGTTTTGGTGTATAACCATATAGTTCTAGGTATGTTCTACAATCAATATCAGATGTTAGCTTGTAATGTTGTTTTCCTAATCTTAACACAGTCACTTTTTTTGAATGTTAGTAATCTGCTATCAATAATGGCAGTTAATTTTATGAAGTCGTATTTGTCACTACTTGGTCTTAAACGCTATGATCTAAGGATCTTTGCCAGAAAGTCCTCTCCTTTGCTTACTGTGAACTCCGTGATTATTCTGTCTTTATAAGAGAACATTGTAAAAACCAACTTTACTTTCTTTGAATTTTTCACATCATTAAATTATTTTTGTAAACTAAGCTAATGCATACATGAGATTAAATTAACCTCTTCGACAATAAATGCTAAATACAGTAGAGAGATAAAACATGATATGCAATGGTGTTTTTAGTACTGACTGTTATTGGTAGTGTCAAGGGGGTTCATTGACAAGTCCTTATGAAATTATTTAACGACTTCAAGACAGTATCCCCCAAACCTTTCCCTTCTGATGCTCCTTGTTCTGATGTTCCTTGTTTTCTTCAATAAAATGACAGAATAAAGACCTTTATAAGGACAAATACATTGATAGGGAAAACGACAATTTTATAAGACAACCTTCAGGAAGGCATAGATTAAGACTCATATAAAGGACAGATATTATAAAATGGATGACATCAGGTGAGTGAATTAGACTATTTAAATCTGGGGTTGCTACTGGCCAAAGGACAAAAGGGAGAAGTGATTACCTCTTTTGGTCTATAAGATACCAATAGGTGAGTCTGATTATAGTATTAATATATTTAAACTGGAATATTTTGGTGTCCTATATGAGGACTCTAAATTTCAATAAATATTTCTAGTAAAGATAAGGCATCTCCCTAGAAGAGAGTTTGGCAAGAAAGTATGAGCCAGAATTTGAGGGTTAATATATCAAAATCTTCTTTAAGATATGACATGCATTCATACATCCAATTCCGCATGTTGCTGAAAATATTTATATATATGTAATTATATATATATATATACATGGGATTATGAAAAATAAATAAAACTACAACAATTAGTATCTTACAGGCTGTTGCCATGAACTGATCACTAGCTAACAGTTAATCTTAAAAATCACCTGCATCTTTCAAGCTTGTGCAGATATTTTGCACGCCTACTGAAAACACATTAAAAAATTATTTTTAGCTACTTGGTGTCTTTCATTATCTGTCCCAACATCTTTCACATATAGCTTTTCTTTGTCACTTATGTTTAAGTAAAAAGATGGTTCCTAAAAATAGAATCCTCATGGGAATTATGATATGCACAATATATACTCTTCATACATATCAGAATATATGGATTCATATGAATGGATCAAAACATACAGTGATAATATTCTACAAACATAATGAATAAAATCTAGTGGTGATGTGTTTTGTATTCTACTGCTTCCATTAAAAAAGCCAAAAAATTCTATAGTTCATTCTAAATCTCAAAGTCCCAAAAACTGTATTATAACATGTACAATAAGTGGTTTCGGTACATTTTACAATGTTAATGTTTCCCAAACCCTTCTAAGTGTAGACTGTTAATTAGAAACCCAACGCAAACTGTTGAAATTACTTTTACTTGTGCTTCATTCCTCAGCTTCTATTTATTATTCTAAGAAGGAACTGCCACATCTTTGTGAACTTTGGCACTAAAAACCATGTGCATTTTGTGATCAGCTTTAGAGGATTTTGATCTACAGTTGAGTTCAGCTTTCATTGCCAATTTCTTCTTTGCCATTGTTGAGTAGAACAGGCCAGTATAGTCCAAACTCTCATTGAATATCATGTCTGCTGAGCAAACTGCTTCATCTCAGCAAGGGAGATTTCATGAGTATTTTTATAACTAAGACAGGAGTGGATATTCTACTGATTTTTGAGATTCTGCAGATGGTGCGTTTGCTTTTAGCATGTTAATGATGTTTGATGATAACTTTAATATAAATTGGACAGAGATATGCCAGAACTACAAGGGCACATGATTTGACCACTTCCTCTATATCAATTCAACATAGTTCTTGACATTCTAGCTATAGCAATAAAACAACAAAAGGCGATCAAAGGAATTCAAATTGAAGAGGGAGAAGTCAAATTTTCGTTATTTGTAGATTATATGATAGTATATATAAGTGACTCCAAAAACTCTACCAGAGAACTAATACAGCTGATAAACACCTTTAGTAATGTGGTGATATACAAGATCAACTCAATAAAATTCAGTAGCCCCCAATATACAAATGATAAAGGAGTAACAAGGTGAATCCTGAGAAAAACATATAGATCCACTTAGAAAGTCAAAATAGACAATATTGCCTGACAAAATTGGTAAAATAGGGGTGGTGAGAATAGAAGTAGTGGAAAGGGAAGAAAAAGGAGAAGGTGAGGGATGAGGTGCACTTTAGGGAAAGAGATATTGGAGATGGAGAAAGGACAGAGATGAGAGCAAGGAAAGAAATATCTTGATCGAGGGAGTCATTATCGTTTTAGCAAAACACTTGGCTCTAGAGAAATTCCCAGGAATCCACAAGGATTAATCCAGCTAATACCCTAAGCAGTACATAAGAGGGTGCCCAAACTGATCTTGCTGTGTAGTTAGACTAATGAATACTTTAAATATCAACATGGAGCCTTCATCCAGCAACTGATGCCAACAGAGGCTGAGACCAGCACCAGAGCATGGGAATGATCTGCCAAAGTCCAGTTGAAGAGTGGGACGAATGAGAATTTGAGCAAAGAGGTCAAGACCATGATGGGTTCACCCACTGAAATAATCTGCCTGAGCTAATGGGAGCTCACCAACAACAGCCAGACTGTGAAGGACAAGTATAGGACCAAACTAGACCCTCCGAATCTGGTTGACAGTGGCATGGCTAAGGCAGACTGAGTGGCCACTGACAGTGACATCAGGAATGATACCTACATCTTTTACTGGCATTTTGGGATCCTATTCTCTTTGGAATGATACCTTGCTCATCCTGGACATAGTAGGGAGGGCCTTGTACTTTCCCCAAACATATGTGCCTCACCCTTTCAAAGGAATGGATGGGGGTGGATAAGGGGAGCAAGTGGAAAAAATGGGAGGAGAGAAGGAAGTGAGAAAAAATGAAGAAAGATAGTTTGTTTTCTTTCTTAATAAGAAAAAATTAAAAATAAATAAATAAAATGAAAAACTAGAGGAAAGGGCAATGTATGGCTGACCTC